TCCTCCTACTTGAGTGAGCGATGCGTCCGCGTGGACAGCTGCTATACAATAATACATTTCCATTTACCTCCTCTATATCCAAACAAAATATCTATCAAACAAACAAAATTAAAATTTTCTTTTGAAAAATGAAACCATTCCATCACTATTTTCTTATGACGTTGTCACGTTCAACTATCGTCAGTAAACCGACTTTACAGACAACCGATTTTTTTCATATTTTTTGAGTCATTTGACCCGGGGTGCATTTGCACCTCTGTACCCCTGGCCAATCCGGCCCTGTTTAAAATGTTAATTTGTTACTTCATACTATGATTGTATTAACATATTTAAATTAATTTTAATCTCACCTAACACAAGATTTTTCTACATTTACATATTACATTTATAATTTTTTCTTTTTAGAAAGCTGATCACATTCAACTAAACGATAAATTACCAATCACTGTGGTAGATCTTCAATAAACGTTCTCATCATTAAATTTTCCTCACCTCATTTTTTTTAATAACATTTAATTTATATTTTCATGTGTTAAGATGTAAAAATGTATATAATTTTCTTTAATAGAATCACATGTTCCTTTATAAACCAAATTGATAATTTATTAAACTTTTAGCACTTTCCATCGTTTCATTTTTCTCTTTTTCTTTATTTATTTAATGTGATATTCAGTACCAAGATGCCACAAAAAGTAAGTACCTACAGTATAAAAATAGAACTATTTCTTTTAGACGTTTAAAGAAAAGATTATTGGTAAATCTAGATTTGCTTATTGCTTTGAAAAACAATGATCCAAATTTTGTAATAAAAATTGCGTATAGAGTGTATACGTTGGTCAGAGCCATCGAACTACGCTCTATATCAATTTGTTAGAATTGTGACCTTGAAGAAATTGCGCGAAGATAGAAAGAATACACACTAGGTGTGAGCAAGACAGAAATAGTTGGAACAAGCTTNTTAAAAATAATAAGAAATTTTGTAGGTATTAATATTATTTGTACATTTGTACATTATTTTAGACCCATCCAACCCAAACAGCATTCCTTTCAGCAATTGATCTTCACACTCAATATAGTTACCAGCGTTTGTTTGACGAATCTATCGCTATAGTTTGCGCACCGAGATATAACGAGTACGTCACCATACACCTCTATTTTTTATATATTTTTTTTTAATAAAGTACGCATTTAATTAATTTTAAGGAACGAAATCTACACGTTAACTCAAGACTACGGTTTACCTTTAATTGGTAACTGTATGCAGTCTGGTTTTCACACACACCCTAACGAAAAGCCCATTTATAAGGTAAGGCGGATAAACATTTTGATTATAATTATACCTAAAAAGCAATTGAAATAAATATTCAAAATCAGAGCCAGACTGAAGATTTTGGCCCGGGGTGCGATGTAACCAAATGGCCTGGTTTAGAAGGGAAAGTGCACAAATTTTAACAGCACTCGTTTTTAAATAAATTTAAGAAGTTAGGAGGAAGTTTGCGTTTGTCTTTGCTTCGGTCTTTGCTCTTGTTTTAAAAATTTATTAAGTTTTTTTCAATTTCTCTTTTTTTGACGTGACAACGTCTTATAATTCGATGGAGCCGGCTGCACGCACGAAAAAACATGACTCATGCGTCGTTACCTCGCTGTGAGGCGTTCCATTTAAGAATTGAAGTGCAAGCGAGAGCGCGGAACGAGCGACAAAGAGGCACAGTCGGCCTCCCCGTTCGGCAGCCTTCGGCATTTGTCTCTCTCCTATTTGAGTGAGCGATGCGTCCGCGTGGACAGCTGCTATACAATAATACATTTCCATTTACCTCCTCTATATCCAAACAAAATATCTATCAAACAAACAAAATTAAAATTTTCTTTTGAAAAATGAAACCATTCCATCACTATTTTCTTATGACGTTGTCACGTTCAACTATCGTCAGTAAACCGACTTTACANTAAAATGGTCAATTTTTCCGTGCAGTACTGTACGGATTATATGCTCCTCACCGGTTGAGAGTTTGGCCGAGAGTTGTCTCCCTTCTTTTCTGGCCTAGTGCTATTCTTTTCTACTTTGCGCCGGTTAAACTGAAGGTCACATCGCTATAGAAACTAAACGAAGTATACTTACTATGCAAGTCGCGGCGCAATCCTATGTGAAATTCACCGCAAGGAATTTCTGAATCTTTGTTTTACTGACTGGCGCATACGCATTTTTTTAAAATCAGTTATGCGTAAAAATGCATGCGCACAACTGATTTTTGAAAAATACAATTGCGACTGTACTTTTTCTATCTGTTTCATCTATCTTTTTCAGACCTATTTGCTTCCGGTTAAGTTTTTGCTATAATTTCTCGTCTTCCGGCTCGTCAATAATCGTAAACTCTATTTCCTTTGAATAAACCTTTAATGGACGTAGCTTATCATTGCATTCTACTCGCTAAATTGTCACGAATGTAATTGAACTTGTTCCGTAAGTTATAAGGAGGGTACAGGGTGGAGGCGTATAGAAATAACAGCTAATCACGTGCATGATGCGACAGTCATACTTTCTTTAGATGGCAAACAATCACCTTTAATATTATATGATTAAAAAGATGTATTCTTGGCGCGTTGAAAATTAAATTTTGGCATGCAATGTAAGTTGCGACGCAGCATGTGCGCAGTCCAACGTCATGACCCATGAAATTCTGAATTACCTCTAACAGAAAATTTTGTTCAAAAAAACACATAATTACTATTATGTATGCGTGTACAGTTTTCCTTTCTATTTTTTAAGGAGTACGGTGTGGGGTCAATTACTTCTTGATTAAATATTTTCTTTTACATCTTTGAACCACAGTAAAAATGATTTATTTTGCAGCAGAAACAAGTCAGTTTAGTTTTCGGTCGATTCGTGATATTTCAAACACAAAACAAAAAAAAAAACTTTCTGCAACCGATATTGGCATCAATTACTAATTTTTCTCGATGTTGTCGACCTTTCTTGTAATAAAAACAAATATTTTAGTTGCAGTAAACCAACTGTTAATCGAACTACGAAGCCAAAATTGAGTTTAGAAGATAGCATTTATTCCCAATACAAAACTCTAAGACTGATTGTAGTACCTGCGAAAACTATTGGCGAGTTTTTGCGAATAGCCAATAGAAATACTTTGGTGAATAAAGAAACATGCGGCATTTTAGCAGGAATAGCTGTGTGTATTACATTAATTAATCAATTAAAATTGAATTAATTANTAGCCAATAGAAATACTTTGGTGAATAAAGAAACATGCGGCATTTTAGCAGGAATAGCTGTGTGTATTACATTAATTAATCAATTAAAATTGAATTAATTAGTATTAGTATATTTTAAAAATCTGAATTTAAATTTATAAAAAAAAGTATTTTTTTATGATTTCAGTATTAAGTATTCCATTAGAGACAAAAAGAAATAGTTTCAAATTTAAATAAAAATTTTTAGAAAAACAATCAGTTCGAAATAAGCCATTTGATCATTCCAAAGCAAACTGGCACTTCTGACACCTGTTCGGCAACTAATGAAGAAGAGCTAAGTGAATTTATCAACGATAACAATCTTTTTTCGTTGGGATGGATTCATGTAAGTATTGTATTGTAAATCATTTAATCCATGATCATAGTGGATAGGGTCGTCAGTTCTATGATTGGTTTGACCGGAGTTAGTCTTCGCATTTCATAACTATTTGTAAACAATAAACTAATCTAGGCCTACTTCTATTTTTTTTTCCTCCTATTTCTGCTTCTAGTAGGTCTCTAACTCAATTGTTCCCAAATGGTGTTCCGTGGAGGGCTTACAGAGGTTTCGCGAGATACGATGTTTGTTGTCCTAGTAAAATTCTGTATTCTAGCCATAAACGAGCATCTATTGAAACTCAAAAAATCCTTTAACGAAAATTTTCCAGAGGAATCACCCAGTCACAGAATAGCCAGTAATTGTGAGTGCAGAATTCATTTGCAAATCAAACTAAATCATGAATGTTAACTGCAAGGTGTCCAGAAAGGATAGGTATCTGCACTATTCGGAGGGGTGCGGTAGGGATAGGTTGTTTCACTACTTTTTGGAGATTTAATGACCATGGTAGTGTACCCGAGAGACCATTGTGCTTTTTGCATACGCGCCTATTATCGCAATGGTGATCCGATTATTATAGCTCAACGATGAATACCCTCCAATCGTTGACAAGGTTATTACGGTTCCTGTTTCTATTTATTTCGACTTCAGATTACAGACCAACTTTTCAATTTCGGTTTTAAAAACAAATTTAAAACTAGGCTGGAAACCATTCCGGATATTCAAATTCAATTGTCNTGTAGAGCGTTAAGTTAATTCACTTGTTATTATTTTTGTCTAAATATGCTTTTAAATAAAGCATATTCTTAAATTTTAACGAGGCAGTTTAAATAATTTTGCAAATAGTACTGTACACTTTTGCCTAGTTCTAGCACGATGATCGGTGGAGAAATGAGCTCCGCAGACAAATATGATTGAATTTGGAATTATGCTACGGCGCATCCTAATAAAGAGAAGGGACATATCTCTAACTTCTTGAAACGAACAGTAGATATTAATCTTGGATTTAAGGAACCTTTAGCATTTAGAAAATCTTATCATTAACTGTTGCTTACTATATATATGATTGTAATCACAAAATACGATTCTAGTTAAGCCCTTTCGCTCTCAACTGTTTCGAAAATACCCCTCGTAGCGCCTTGTATCAATAGTAATTTTATTTTTTATTACTGGATTGCTGTGAGTGTAGTTATTCTAGGGTAGTCATTAACAAAACCCTTGGTGTCAAATTTAAGTAAAATGAAACGGTAAATTTTGACGTTTAAATATGTTAGATTCAAATTCTCGTGAAAACACTTTTACCCCCGCTTTTATTTTAAATTATAAGTAATGAGGTGTTCTCACTGTAAACATAAACGGTACAAAAGAAAACTGCATAGAAAAGAGAAGTCGTACTATCGCTTTTTAGTGAAACAGGGTCTAAAATTTTTAAAACGTTACGATAGGAAGCATGGAAAAGTAGCTAAGCGAGGACGTATTCGAACAAAAACACCCGCGGACGATAAGAAAAAGCCAGAAAATGGCGAACAAAATAATAATAATAAACAGAAGAAGGCAACAGGAGGTGGCTTATCAAGGTTCTTTAGATTCAGATCTGTGCAGCCACATATTGAGGACGATTTATAAAAATTTCACTAATTTATTATGCCAGTATAATGTGTAATGTGTCCTTACGAATGTAAATATTTTTGCATTAAAAAAATCCAAATATTCCTTTCCTAAATCATTTTTGTTTGAAATAATTGTTTATAAAATTCGTACGTCTGCTTCCGAAAAGGGGACATCTCCAATGGGCTTCAACTTATTACCACATACTCCCTTATGGACTGAAATGATTTTTAGGGACTTAAACTGGAAGGGGATCGGTTCATAAAATACGTCACTTACGATTAGAATTTCACCTATTCGGACCCCTCTCTCCCTCTTCGTCATGTAAGTCTCACTTTTAGCGACCCTTCCAATAAATATTACGTCACAAAAACTAAGCCCTCCGACTATAATAACTTTTGACGATTAAAAATAGTAAGAGAAACCAGAATAAGATAAGTACCTACATAGGAGATGGCAGCAGCTCTTTCAGTATTCAGGATGGCAGAGATCACGAGGATCGGTATGGCACTCTGATGCACAATACTGCAATGTGAAAGGGGAATGTCATCAAGTGCAATAGGAGAAATCGAGTTCACAAGTCGGAGCGTTGAATGTTAGGACAAAGAGGCAACCAGAGAAATTATAAAATTTTAAAGATGAGTATATGGTTGGCATTAGTGAAGTCCGTTGGTCAGAGTGGAGACTTTAGAATAAACGTTAAACAAAAATACTAGAAGAAAAAGCAAGGAAAGAGAATATAAAGGTAGGAGACGACAAATTAGAAGTGCTAAAAGTGGTTGATTCTCGATATCTAGAAAGTCCAACTAAGTCAGGATGTAAGGAGTAGCAGGGATATAAAGCAGAGGATAGCGCAGGGTCTAGTCGCCTTCAATAAAAAGAAGTTCCTTCTATACTCGCGAACGGTTGATTTATAAATTGGAAAAAACATGGACATTTGGCGGGGTGGAAAACAAAAGGTTAAAAGGGTCTGAAATGTGGTGTTACAGGCGAATGATGAGGATACTGTGGATATATAGGGTTAGAAATGAAGAGACATTAGAAAGAATAGGAGAACAGAGGACTCTACGGAAATCAATATGAAATAGGCGAGATAGGTTGGTAGGACATCTCAGGGCTAGTCAGAGACATATTAGAGGCAGAAACGGAAGTTAGGAGGTGTAGAGGTAGACCTAGATTAGATTACTGTCTGCAAATAATTAAGGACGTGAGACATTCTAGTTTTAGGGAAATGTGAAGATTAGTTCAGGATAGGAAAGAGCGGAGGTGGACCTCTACGCTTATTGACCGTTTAGGTTATATTGGCAGTATTGCAATACATATTTGAACTCAACGCGGAGAAAACTAAATTTTTAAGATAACGCACGATTGTAAATGACTGAATTTGCGGTAGAAATAGTAGAATTTATTAGGCAATTAATAATAATCTCAAGTTTAACATGTTTTTTTTTTTAANCGTCAAAAATTAGAAAAAAAAATCAGCAATTCTTTTTAATTTTTTTTTTCAATACGTCAGCCAATTCTCGTTATCAGAAATCATCTTTAGTTCCGGAACGCGTTCCTGTCCAAAAAGGAAGTACCGGAACGACGTTCCGGCTCGACAACACCACTGACATTAAATGTATACGTACATGCAATAAAGATTTTGAAATCAAAATTTAATTTGAACAACATGTACACAATAAGGTGCCAGGAGTCAGACATAAAACTATCATCACTTTACTTTTTGTCGAAAAGGGGTTCCGTCAAAAAAAGGTCTTCAGAAAGAGTTCCGTAGTAAAAAAAATTGGAAACCTCTACTCTAAAACTACAACATCCCACATCCTGAACTATTTCTCTAACCTCTACACCTGCACCATAACTATTGTTTCTGTTTCTGTGGTGTCTCCAACTAGCCCTTTATGCCTGAGAAAGTGTCCTACCAACCTATGTCGTCTATTTTTCATTGCCAAATTCTGTTCTCCTTTTGTTTCGAATATCTCCTCATTTCTAACCTTCTTTATCTACACTATGCTCATTATTTGCCTGTAATTCCACATTTTGAACGCATCTAAACTTTTTATTTTCCGTCGTGTTCAGCGTCCAGGTTTCGCACCCGTACAGACATACACATTTAACAATCATTTTCAAATTTCTAAATTAACCATTCGCAATCATAGAGGTGACTTTTTTTGTCAAACAAAACTCGAATTTGCACTATCCTCTGTTTTATGTCTCAACTGCTCCTTCCATCTTGAGTTATCTAACTCCTTAGATACTGAAAATCAGCGACTTCTTGTAACTCTTCGTCTCCTATGTTTATATTCACTCGTTTCCTACTTTCTCTTCCCTTACATACCAATATTTTTGTTTTCATACCATAATCTTTCGTTAGTAATGCTTCCATTTTATTTAAGGGCTATCTCTAAGTCCTCCTTGCTAAATGCTAATATGCTTTATCATCTACAAATGTAGGTATAATAATCTTTTGTCCCTGTATATCTTTCTTTGATNAGGCAATTATAGCAAAAGCTTTTTAATTTGAGTTTATGAATTTTTATAGATAATAGAAGTACCTTTATTGCAGTTAGTATTATTATAAACTGTCGTTCTTTTTGAATGTTTCTTTTGCAGTTGTATAATTGATAATACTGCGGTTTTTCTTCGATTTTAATTACACTGATAATTACTTTGCTTCGACAAGGTCACTATTAAGTTCCTTTTTTTTGATTCTGCAAATCGTGCATAGTATAATAACGGCCCTCGCCCATGTTTTTTAGTGCACTTTTTGCTATAAAAATGTTACGTTGTCTATAATAAAACCGCAAGACCCAATTAAACGTTCTACCATAAGAAACACTAAAGAGAATGATTTTTAAAACGTAATTGCAATGGTTAAAGATTAACATTCTTGATGACAATTGCTCTGTTATGCTACTAATTACATATATAAAATATACATATGTATAAAAAAGTGTATAGCCTGAAAATGTTTTTCTAATATAACGACACTGTAGAAATTACTTTGCGATAATTCTTTGAAAAACATATATACTTGTATTTACAAGACAAAATGAAAAACAGACAAAAATAAAAAGTTATTGTCAGGTGTGGGGTTCGAACCCACGCTCCCTCTCGGGAACCAGAGCTTAAATCTGGCGCCTTAGACCGCTCGGCCAACCTGACTTGTTGAATGAGCATGAATCAGTCAGATTGATATATAATTCTAATGCTTCTATTTGACTTACGCAATTTTTTTAATATTATATTATTATACATGTTTTTATAGATAAACCTTATTAAATTACAATGATTTCATCTCAAAAACCCTAATAAAGAAAATGTGAATGTCAAATATACACATATTATGCCTAGCTGTGAATATAATACACAGCGGTACAAATACCTACATTTATATATACAGGGTGTTGCAATTATGTTTTGCAGAGGTTTTAGCAGACGCAGATAGACAAACAGGTGAATACCTGATATTTGTAAAGAAATAATCAAATTTAATTGTACTGACAATGAAATAAATTATAAGTACACTTTTTAATTAGTTTTCTTATTAGAGTTTACCCACCCAGTAAAATTTTTTTTACGTTCTAAAAATATTCAAACGTAGATACAAGTTGTTTTTTTCTGTATACTATCTACATGTTTTACAAAATAAAACGTCATTTATTTAGTTTTGGCGTGAATCCGGAAATTGGTTTAAAAAAATTTTATTTGGAACTGTCAGTTGCTCAAGGTTCTTAAAAAAGCCACAAATGTTCGCTCACTCAAGAAAAATAAGTTTTAAGAACAGCAACAAAGCGTTTTAAAACAATGATAACCACTAATCAAAAATCTGCAAGGTTAAATTATGTAACAGATCCAGACGGCTTTTTCATTTATTTGTCATTACATTATTTCCAAGAAATATTATGATAATTAAGAGAGGTCCTAGTCGCAGTTCCCGAAAAGATTCATTATAAATTTTATAACCGTCTGGTTTCGAAAAATAATCATCGTCATAAGGCCGTCAGTCCTAAACGAGTTGGAGTTCATTATCATAAAGTCATAAGTCCTAAGAATGGTTGTACATTCATTGATTATCTCTCAACATCATCTTAAGGTCATCAGTCTTAGTACTGGTTGGACACGCACCTCCACACTTTCATATCCTGAGATAATCTTCGCATTTTCCTAAAACTATAACATCCCACATCCTTAACTATTTGCGAACTGTATGTAATCTAATCTAGGTCTACCTCTACTCCTCTTAACTCCTGTGTCTGCCTCTAATATGTCTCTGACTAGACCTTCAAGCCTGAGATGGTGTCCTACCAGCCTATCTCGCCTATTGTTTATTGACATCCATAGAGTCCTCTGTTCTCCTATTCTTTCTAACATCTCCTTATTCCTAACCTTCTCTACCCACGGTATCCTCATCATTTTCCTCTAACACCACATTTCGAGCGCTTCTAGCCTTTTTCTTTGTTCAGCATACATCTTAACAGTCAGCTAATTCCATAAAGGGCCATTAACCGAGGAAATAATTCGAACTTAAGAACAACACGATATATTCCCCACATAAATAGCTAGTAAAAAGAAATTCTGTTATACTTTTCGGACTTTCTTGTAAGGCAACTATTGTTTTTGGATAGTTTTTGAACTCGTTTTATATTTTGACAATATTCCGAATAGTTTTCACCGTAGGTGTGCTCAAAAGTTCATGAATTTGTAGCGTACAGTTTGTAAAAAATTAATTATGCGAATGTAACAGCTTTCACATTTTGTATATGTACAGGGATTCCAACCGATAAGTTCAAACTGCTTATACTTACTGAACGCATTTTGACTTTGTAGGATTTGAGTGTCAACATCTAAAAAATTTGAGAGGCCCAAAGTTCAGAGACCTGAGGATAGCCAATCCCTCCGTCTACCTTCCTCTGGTCTGCTACTGTCGTATCTTTTATCATTTTTAGAGTAAACATTATGAAATAAGAGAACGTGGCAAAGTTGGAAAAGAAATAATCGAATTTAGAAGAAAACTGTGAGTTTTATAAGTTTAATTTTTTAATTTTCAGTAAATGCCAATGACAGAGAAAGCTTTACAGAAAAGCTTCTCCGTCATCCACAAGTCAATGTTGTATTTACATAAATACGTCACACGTCGTGCCGCTTGCGGATGCTCCGAATAATTCGCAACGCTAATGTTTCGCGTCGGTGTGAGGGGATCCTTAATTAAAGTTTAAAAAAAAAAACGAACATGACCCAAAAAAATATTCACCTTGTATAGAACATGCACAGTTTGTGTAGATAATCAAAAATAATATCATCAATATTATCACGTATCATAAAATAAAATGATAAAGAACAATCGCGACCGGTTGATAAATAATTTATATGTATAAATAAATTCATTACGAAGTCATGGATTTTTCGCGGTACTCGTTTAGTTATTAGTCGGGTTAGTCATCATCCATTGCTCATGTCAAGTACAACTACTACAGTACAATCGTTTACCATTTACTCGCGAGCGGGGAAAGTTTGTCTTAATCAATCTGAATCTTATTAAAAGCGAGTTATTTACAAGTTGAAGTTACTTCCTTCCATAAGCTACCTACGCGCCGGTTCTCTAAACCTTGTGCGCATTTCGTGCTTACTGCCCATCGGCTGCTATGTACTTTATATTTTTTATTTAGTATCCGGAGTTTAATTGCTATTTACAGAGATTTAATAGTGCTAATTCTTGTTTTGATGTTGTCTATATTCGCTGTGATAGATTTTTAAAAGTGATATCGATTTACGTAAACCCAAAATGCATACCAAAGATTTTGTGATTTTGTTTATTTTTTTCAAATGTTGTAATTCCATAAGTGGTAAGTTTCCAGATCATTTCTGTTTAATTTAAAAATGAATTAAAGAAGTCTGAATGACATGAAAAACCTTATCATACAGATAAATAACAATGAAGGTATCATATACCTAAAAGATAAGTACTTTTTTCAGTTGTAAAGATTATTTTGTNTGATCGATACTCATCCTCCCTTAAAACAAAAATCCGAATCAGCTGATTCAAATTTGAATGACCTTTAGATCGAATTTAATGATAAATACCCTCTAATCGTTGACAAGGTTATTACGGTTCCTGTTTCTATTTATTTCGACTTCAGATTACAGACCAACTTTTCAATTTCGATTTTAAAAACAAATTTAAAACTAGACTGGAAACCATTCCGGATATTCAAATTCAATTGTCGGACATCAAATCAAATTTTAACGCTATCATAAGTAAAAATGTACACATTAAATGTATACGTTCATGCAATAAAGATTTTGAATTCAAAATTTAATTTAAAAAACATGTACACAATAAGGTGCCAGGAGTCAGATATAAAACTATCATCACTTTACTTTTTGTCGAAAAAGGGTTCCGTCAAAAAAAGGTCATCAGAAAGAGTTCCGTAGTAAAAAAAATTTGGGAACTTCTACTCTAAAACTAGAACATCCCACATCCTGAACTATTTGTGAAGAGTAATCTAATCTAGGCCTACCTCTACACCTCTTAACTATTATTTTTGTTTCTATGGCGTCTAGCCCTTCATTCCTGAGAAAGTGTGCTACCAACCTAAGTCGTCTATTTTTCATTGCCAAATTCTGTTCTCCTTTTGTTTCGAATATCTCCTCATTTCTAACCTTCTTTATCTACACTATGCTCATTATTCGCCCTTAATTCCACATTTCGAACGCATCTAACCTTTTATTTTCCGTCGTGTTCAGCGTCCAGGCTTCGCACCCGTAGAGACATACACCTTTATGAATTATTTTCAAATTTCTAAATTAACCGTTCGCAAGTATACAGGTGACTTTTTTTTGTGTCTCTACTGCTCCTTCCATCTTGAGTTATCTGACTTCTTAGATACTGAAACTCAGCGACTTCTTCTAACTCTTCGTCTCCTATATTTATATTCACTCTTTTCCTACTTTCTTATCCCTTGCATACCAATATTTCTCCTTGCTAGATGCTAATATGCTATATCACCTGCAAATGTAGGTATACTTATCTTTTGTCCCTGTATATCTTTTTTTAAAGTGATAATGTTTAACGCGTCTTACTACGATCAAAAATGCCCCTCATCAGTTTAGTTTCTTTGAAGTTAAAAATAATAAGAAAATTTGTAGGTATTAATATTATTTGTACATTTGTACATTATTTTAGACTCATCCAACCCAAACAGCATTCCTTTCAGCAATTGATCTTCACACTCAATATAGTTACCAGCGTTTGTTTGACGAATCTATCGCTATAGTTTGCGCACCGAGATATAACGAGTACGTCACCATACACCTCTATTTTTTATATATTTTTTTTTAATAAAGTACGCATTTAATTAATTTTAAGGAACGAAATCTACACGTTAACTCAAGACTACGGTTTACCTTTAATTGGTAACTGTATGCAGTCTGGTTTTCACACACACCCTAACGAAAAGCCCATTTATAAGGTAAGGCGGATAAACATTTTGATTATAATTATACCTAAAAAGCAATTGAAATAAATATTCAAAATCAGAGCCAGACTGAAGATTTTGGCCCGGGGTGCGATGTAACCAAATGGCCTGGTTTAGAAGGGAAAGTGCACAAATTTTAACAGCACTCGTTTTTAAATAAATTTAAGAAGTTAGGAGGAAGTTTGCGTTTGTCTTTGCTTCGGTCTTTGCTCTTGTTTTAAAAATTTATTAAGTTTTTTTCAATTTCTCTTTTTTTGACGTGACAACGCGAAAAGGTCGGACCTCCGACGGTGCAAAGACTAGAGAACATTTCAAAAATTTCCTGCTATTGGACCTTGCTATGCCACTAAAAAGAATATCCTTCTGGTTCCTGTTACTTTTAAGAAATTTCTTTTTGTTTTGAGAATATTCTAAACCAAGGAGGTACTTACATGATTTTTATCTAAATAAGTCATTTTTTCCTTCAACTCAGGGGAATTAATATTGCTATACGGAAGGCCTACTACAACTACACATCGTCCCAAGTCGTCGCTAAAATTCAACCCTTCGCTCAGTTTCCCTCCTACGGACGAAACACAGAATGGAATGTCCTTTTTTAAATTGTAATATTTTTCTTTGAACCTACCCACAACACTGAACAAGAGAGCACCTTTGCTTCCCGATTTTTTAATGACCGAAGCATAAGATTCCAATACTGAATCAACAGAACCAGAATCTTGGGGTTCCCTAAACACCGGCCTACCAAAAGACAGTGTTTTAACCTGCTCCCAAACCCAAGACTCATATTTATACGATGGAAAAAATACTACAATTCCACCGGGAACTTTTTTACAAATTTCACAAAAAACGTCTTTCAAAACATTACCCTGAAAACGGATATTCCTTTTAAGGATTAAAAAAAAAAGTTATCCAACTACTGAGGCACTTTCCACCACTACATATTTCTTACTGTACCTATAATGTTTTTCCAGGTAGAAGAATACTGTAATATTCCTCCACATAAGGTTCAAATGATCAAATACATTTTATGAAGACTGGAAAAACTTTGGCGGTTGTTGTAGAACAAACAAATTAGCTCAAACCCCAACACCAAAACACGACACTTTAGTTGTCCGAAGCACTTTTCTGNTTAAAAAAATTTTATTTGGAACTGTCAGTTGCTCAAGGTTCTTAAAAAAGCCACAAATGTTCGCTCACTCAAGAAAAATAAGTTTTAAGAACAGCAACAAAGCGTTTTAAAACAATGATAACCACTAATCAAAAATCTGCAAGGTTAAATTATGTAACAGATCCAGACGGCTTTTTCATTTATTTGTCATTACATTATTTCCAAGAAATATTATGATAATTAAGAGAGGTCCTAGTCGCAGTTCCCGAAAAGATTCATTATAAATTTTATAACCGTCTGGTTTCGAAAAATAATCATCGTCATAAGGCCGTCAGTCCTAAACGAGTTGGAGTTCATTATCATAAAGTCATAAGTCCTAAGAATGGTTGTACATTCATTGATTATCTCTCAACATCATCTTAAGGTCATCAGTCTTAGTACTGGTTGGACACGCACCTCCACACTTTCATATCCTGAGATAATCTTCGCATTTTCCTAAAACTATAACATCCCACATCCTTAACTATTTGCGAACTGTATGTAATCTAATCTAGGTCTACCTCTACTCCTCTTAACTCCTGTGTCTGCCTCTAATATGTCTCTGACTAGACCTTCAAGCCTGAGATGGTGTCCTACCAGCCTATCTCGCCTATTGTTTATTGACATCCATAGAGTCCTCTGTTCTCCTATTCTTTCTAACATCTCCTTATTCCTAACCTTCTCTACCCACGGTATCCTCATCATTTTCCTCTAACACCACATTTCGAGCGCTTCTAGCCTTTTTCTTTGTTCAGCATACATCTTAACAGTCAGCTAATTCCATAAAGGGCCATTAACCGAGGAAATAATTCGAACTTAAGAACAACACGATATATTCCCCACATAAATAGCTAGTAAAAAGAAATTCTGTTATACTTTTCGGACTTTCTTGTAAGGCAACTATTGTTTTTGGATAGTTTTTGAACTCGTTTTATATTTTGACAATATTCCGAATAGTTTTCACCGTAGGTGTGCTCAAAAGTTCATGAATTTGTAGCGTACAGTTTGTAAAAAATTAATTATGCGAATGTAACAGCTTTCACATTTTGTATATGTACAGGGATTCCAACCGATAAGTTCAAACTGCTTATACTTACTGAACGCATTTTGACTTTGTAGGATTTGAGTGTCAACATCTAAAAAATTTGAGAGGCCCAAAGTTCAGAGACCTGAGGATAGCCAATCCCTCCGTCTACCTTCCTCTGGTCTGCTACTGTCGTATCTTTTATCATTTTTAGAGTAAACATTATGAAATAAGAGAACGTGGCAAAGTTGGAAAAGAAATAATCGAATTTAGAAGAAAACTGTGAGTTTTATAAGTTTAATTTTTTAATTTTCAGTAAATGCCAATGACAGAGAAAGCTTTACAGAAAAGCTTCTCCGTCATCCACAAGTCAATGTTGTATTTACATAAATACGTCACACGTCGTGCCGCTTGCGGATGCTCCGAATAATTCGCAACGCTAATGTTTCGCGTCGGTGTGAGGGGATCCTTAATTAAAGTTTAAAAAAAAAAACGAACATGACCCAAAAAAATATTCACCTTGTATAGAACATGCACAGTTTGTGTAGATAATCAAAAATAATATCATCAATATTATCACGTATCATAAAATAAAATGATAAAGAACAATCGCGACCGGTTGATAAATAATTTATATGTATAAATAAATTCATTACGAAGTCATGGATTTTTCGCGGTACTCGTTTAGTTATTAGTCGGGTTAGTCATCATCCATTGCTCATGTCAAGTACAACTACTACAGTACAATCGTTTACCATTTACTCGCGAGCGGGGAAAGTTTGTCTTAATCAATCTGAATCTTATTAAAAGCGAGTTATTTACAAGTTGAAGTTACTTCCTTCCATAAGCTACCTACGCGCCGGTTCTCTAAACCTTGTGCGCATTTCGTGCTTACTGCCCATCGGCTGCTATGTACTTTATATTTTTTATTTAGTATCCGGAGTTTAATTGCTATTTACCGAGATTTAATAGTGCTAATTCTTGTTTTGATGTTGTCTATATTCGCTGTGATAGATTTTTAAAAGTGATATCGATTTACGTAAACCCAAAATGCATACCAAAGATTTTGTGATTTTGTTTATTTTTTTCAAATGTTGTAATTCCATAAGTGGTAAGTTTCCAGATCATTTCTGTTTAATTTAAAAATGAATTAAAGAAGTCTGAATGACATGAAAAACCTTATCATACAGATAAATAACAATGAAGGTATCATATACCTAAAAGATAAGTACTTTTTTCAGTTGTAAAGATTATTTTGTATATTATAAGAAAATTGCTTATTTTGAACAATGATAGTTTGCTTAATTTTTAATTTGATAAATGTTTTAGATAATTACAAAAAAAAAAACGTTTTCGATATAATTAAAGTGGAATATTTAACATCTCAAACCATAACAAAAAGTAAGACAAGTTTGTCTTGCACTAAACATTACCTACAATAAACAATAAAATAACTTAAAAAGTTTATGGCATCAATTACCTCCAAAAAGTTATAACTATCAATTAAAAATTTTTATGATTTTGAACTAAGGGTTTGTAGGTCTTTACAATGAATTATGGTTATCAAAATTTTTGTTACACGAATAAAATTGAACGCGAAACGCGGGTACAATTACTTTTTTATTTCTCTTATCAGTAGGTAATGGTTAAAGATTAAGTTGTAAAAAACCTTTATATTCCTCCTCCCGAAATAAAGTCCTGGTTACGTCACGGGGTTACAAGATAATAACAAATTCAATTAATTATTATTATTAAGTTACCTACAATTTTTAATCTTCAATAATGATCCATAAATTCATTTAGGAATATTATTTGGATATACCTAATAAAAAATAACACTAAATAGTAAATTTAAATCTGAATGTAAGTAAATGTTTAATGTTTTTTAAAACAATACATCAGCAGAGATAGAGTCGCATTTAACAAGCCACTTTTATGTTTCAAAAAAGATTGTTAATGTTGTATGTCTGGAGTATGACTCTGTAGAGGTGCGAAATGTAGACGGTGGGCGCGGTGGAATAGAAAAGGTTAGAAGCGTTCGAAATGTGGTGTTACAGGCGAATGATGAGGATACGGTAGATAGTCAAAAACCTTTCATAAGTGAGTGTAATAAAATCAGTGACATTGGCAATTTGTTATTGGCGTTCATAAATTATTTATTAAAGCCTCTCCTACGGCAGTTTTTTTGTTTCTATAAAAATATTAACGTTATGCTCTAAGTTACAGTTACTCGCAACAGTTATAAAAAGTAAACAAATAAGATTGCTCTTTTGCGTGAGAGTAAAAAAAAATTATTAATGTTTCCGGTTTATTAATAGAGAAAACGATAGAAAAAGGAAAGAGTGCGTACACAGGATATGTATGGTAGATTTAGAAAAAGCTTTTGAGGTAAATGTCTAGATGATGACCGTCACCCCCGAGGGAGGGGATCGAAAGAGGAGGTCTCCCCCACTACTATACCATCAAAAGTTCGTGGCGGTCTCACCCCCATAAAAAGTTATGAAGGTTAGATGGGGGTGGGGGTAGGAGGATCGAAAGAGGGTGATCACCTGGGTAAATTACCATAAAAAATTTGCGGCGGTCTCACCCCTATTAAATGTTATGGTTGACAATTTTCATACACTATAATTCAAATAAAATTCAATAAAAAAATTATTTTCAAGCGGCTGGAGGTGTGGGATCGAAAGAGGGTGGTCACTTGATAACCTAACCTAACCTACCCTATTGATAATGATAGTTAAATAATGTGTTATGTAACTTTCTCAATATTTTTATGTATTTTTCATTAGTTTTACCTTTGAATATTGTTTAAGAATGACTATATAAATATTTCCAAAGCTAGAAATGTATAAACATTGGCATATTTATTAACTTTGAACCCCAATAACTTTTTATGGGGGGGTGAAACCGCCACGAACTTTTTATGGCACAGTGGTGGGGGAGACCTAAATAGTAAATTTAAATCTGAATGTAAGTAAATGTTTAATGTTTTTTAAAACAATACATCAGCAGAGATAGAGTCGCATTTAACAAGCCACTTTTATGTTTTGAAAAAGATTGTTAAAGTTGTATGTCTGGAGTATGACTCTGTAGAGGTGCGAAATGTAGACGGTGGGCGCGGTGGCATAGAAAAAGTTAGAAGCGTTCGAAATGTGGTGTTACAGGCGAATGATGAGGATACCGTGGATAGAGATTAGAAATGACGAGATAGAAAGAATAGAAGAACAAAGGTCACTGTGGAAGTCAATTAAAAACAGGCAATATAGGATGATAGGATACTTTCTCAGGCATGAAGGTTTAGTTAGAGATATAATGGAAGTAGAAACAGGAGTTAAAAGGAGTAGAGGTAGACTTAGATTAGATTACTGTTCACGAATAGTTAGAGATGTGGAATTTCCTAGATTTAGAGAAATGAGAAGATTAGCTCAGGTGCTCAGGATTGGAAATAGTGGAAGTGAGTGTCCAACCAATCTTAGAACTGACGACCTCGTGATGATGATGATGATAATCACACATCGAGTTGTTCATTAATTAAACACAATGAAATGATTAGATGGGATAAACCATACTCAAACTAAATATCAAAAAGAAATGTCAGACATCAAATTCAGTTGTCAAAGTTAAAGAAAGAAACAAATAAACAAAAAAAGTGATTAAAAAATAAACTTTGTAGACAAAACACGAATATTAGTTTTCCCCATTAAATTCCACCTCTTTCTCCATTATGCTCAACCCACGAGGAGTTTTCCCCACGATGTGGGTATTTCCCAACGAGATGGAAACACTTACTGCGACCTACGCAGAACTATCTACTTCCGAATTGCTATTAAATATAGCTACATGCAGATACAGATTCAGATACTTTATTTTTTTAAATTAAAACTCGATAGTGTTTAAACAAATTGTTCAATCATCGAAAAGGTATTTGAAAAACTAGAAACCATTTGTCATTCATTCATAAATTACACTAAAGTAAATATGTATGTGCTATTCATTAGCAGTTTACATGCAAATGTAGTAGAAACTGGTACCTAATGTACATCTATTATGTTCAAAATTAGATTTAAAAATATTTTAATATCATAATAGGTGTAAATTGTTGTACTTTATTATTCAAACAGAATAAAGAGTAGAAATTGAATAAGTTTGAAATGAGGTTTTATAAAAACACTATTGTAAGTAACTAATATTAATATCCAAATTACAATAAGTGTACGCCAAAAAATTAATATCTTATGACCAAGGTTAGTAAGGTATTCGTTGAGAAATATGGTCAAACAATTTTCTTAGAAAAATATGACCTGTATTACATTGATTTCAAAATTGACAAGTTTAAATATTAAAACTGAGATTTTTCCCTTATTATCGAACATTTTTAAATTCATACTCTTGTCCATTCAAACTCAGCTGTCACGTCTTACTGAAATACAAGAAAAAAAATATTTTAGGATTAAGTATGTATGGGTCCTTAACAAAGAACTAAATCACAAAATTTCGTTTGTATATTGTATATTCTGTATTCTCTCATCAACTGTTTTGGTGTTCATGACAATTTTATTATTTTGCTTCAACGGTTTCAACTGTTTCAGCGAAAATCCGTTGGCAAAACGTTACAAATTGGTCGACTTTTTGAACGGGACTTGATGATTAGTATGGGATGTTGGTGAGGTGGCATTTTTAATGCAAATTCCACCAGAATTAGCCATTAGCCACAAGATCATACACACTGTCAACATTCCTTTCGTTCGGAATTTTGGGTTTCTGTGCTCTATTTAGTTAAGTTCCACACTTCCACAGAACTCTCTTTTATTTTGGTGTATACTACCTATTTAATAAGTTATTTTCAAAAAATTATATAAGAAAAGCAAACCTACCCCTAAACTTCGAAACCACTACACTGAAAACTATAAGGAAAATCGCTGTTTATTTTTCTTTAAAGACAAATGATACTTTTATACATACTCTTTTGTCTTTTGAAAACAAATGACTACATTACTAAACCCTAAAGGTGAATTTTTTGTCATATTTTAAGTTTGTTTCTCTTGTTTGCTAATAATATGCAAATTATAGCACAGTTTATCTTTAAATATTATCTAACTTTGCCTCAAGATGACAGACACACATAAAAATTTCTGTATCTTTTTTCACTAGGTAGGTACGTATAATTATATCATTATATCCATACAGAGGATTATAATTTTAAAATTTGCTTACATAAATGGCTCTTAAAAAGGTTATACAATCATAGATTTGCTTAATGTTGGACTTATGTTTCTGTATTATTACAATCCCAACCAAAAGTGCGAATATGAGTTTGTTTATTACTATTTCACGACTGAACTATTCAACCGATCATCATAAAATTTTGTAGATTCATTGTCGGGGGCACAGAAAAGGTCATAGGATAGTTTTTATCAAGAAACAAAAATGCTGTTCCCGAGGGATAGAAAAAAAAATAATTTTATGTTGTTGTCGATTATCATTGACACCTAATTGTTATAATATTATCAAGAAATATTTGGAAAATCCAGGTATTTTAACTATCTGTCAACTCTTTTATTAATCAGCACATTGACATTACGACTAAGTTTGCAATCAATTCTAAATTTAATTGGTGACTAATAAACTAAATAGTAACTATTTGATGAAAAATACACCATATGCAGAAGTTATTTTAATTAATTCTTTCCACGTCTACTGTTTAAAAATGCGACAGGTTAGATATTAGCTATCTACATGTAATTCATTAGAAATTAAATGGTATTGTAGGTGCATACACAATGGCGTAACTAGGTAACGAAGGGCCCTGGGGCAAATCAAAAAATGGGAGCCCACTGCTATCTAAACTGGTTAGGTTTTATCAAGTAAAAATATTAAATATTAGTGACTATTCGGCCACTTTCGTAGTCGGCGACTNTAAAAATATTAAATATATAAAAATGCTAAGCCACTCGAACAACTGTGATGTTTAATTCTTTCTGATAAATGATTCCAATCCCGAATTCCCGTAAACCAAACATTATTCCTTTGCTAAGCGAATAACCAGCAGGGTTGACAATAGGCAGCGTCTAGTATTTTGGAATAACACAACCAAAAACGATTAACTGGTCC